CAAGATAACAATTGAGTCGTAGGGAATGAGTCGTTCAGTCCATTTCTTCCGTGGATCCTGTCGCACACCAAAGTACGCACACAAGGCACATACGTAGTGAGGCGCGACGGTGTCTTCAGCCAAGTGGAGAAAGCGACCCTTGGGGGCGATCGATAGGAACCCGGAAATCTGGTCCGAAGACTCGGAATCGACCAGATCGACCTGTCACGCCTTGTCAGATGAAAGCCCTACCATGGCAGGCATGGCTGCTTGAGCAGGTGGACAGATATGATGTAAAAATCTCGGTTACACCGGCGGGTCCGTCCCAAGACACTGATTCTCGTGGCGTTTACGTGGCGTTCCCCTCCATTGGCGTCAAAATCCACCTTCCGGTCCCAAACTAAACAACGCGGAGCCGGGCGCTACATCGACGGGCGGCCGGCTCGGCTTGCCGGAGGCAAGTATGATATCCATACCGGGAAAACCTCCGAGAGGTTGCAAGACCGGGGTATGAACATGACCGATGCCCCGAGCCTGGGTCGACTACCATTCGCCGGGCCCCCGGGCGGAAGCAAAGTCGCAAGATCGAGCATTGCGCAAAAGTCTAGAATGGCCCATGAATCGACGTCGTGGTTCTCGTAGGTGAGGAAATGGCCCCTTGTTTCGATCCAAGGTAACCTATAAGTAAAAGTCGTGCGCATATACTATACGTTTGATTTGGTTTCCGCTTGGTCTGACGTTCTGCCTCAGACCCTAGTCAATCGAGGTCCGAGGAAACCCACTCGCACACCCACTTTACGGAGGGCGGCCCGCGCCGTTGTTCGATAGTGCCCAGGCCGAGATCGAGGATGTGATTTTGTCGTCAAGGTGGAGGAACAATGCCTATTCCGAGTATGAGAGTCAGCAGCGAGATCAAGACACGATTGCATATTGCTCAATATAGTTCACTCGGCACTCTGAAGAAAGTCCTTTTTGAAATGTTTTGCATTCAATTTTGGTATGTTGTTTCTGTTGTCGTCTCAATGCCATGAGAGGAAATGCCGTGCTCAAAACCACACCTGTCCTTTTATGCCATCCAGGAGTCAGGTAATTACAGTGAAAAGAAGGATCCGAAACCGTTCCTATGCCGCAAAAAGCCACCTGTCGGGGCCATGTATGAAAGAATCTTTTGTTTTTCCGTACCGTAAATGCTCCTTGACGCAAATCGCTGAAACCCCTCTTGCCCAAACCCTTTCTGATGCAAATAGAGGGGAGGAAGAGAGATGAAGAAAAGACTCGAAGCAAAGCGAAAGCACAGGCGGTCTGTTTAGACATTGTGATCGCCGTTAATAGTAGTAGTGCCTTCGCTGCTAGGCTTCTTCTCTGTTGCGGTGTTGCCGGCCCTTGACGCCACCTTTTCGAGAATGACCTTCTTACGGAACTCAAAGACGGTGTTGTGCTTGGACTTGATCGCCTCACGGACGCGGTTCTCGGAACGGCCCATCCAGATGTGGTAGGGAGCCATGCTAGCGGGGAACAGGGGCAGGTTCTGGGAAGACTCCATGAAGCGGTAGGGGTCGCGCTTCTCGAATGAGGCGATAATGTCCAGTTCAGAGGCAACCTGTTCGCAGTAGACCTCAAGAGGCAAATCGTTGACGTCCTCGCCGAAGGGGTTCTCAATCTCGCGACCGATAAAGAGGATACCGAGAATGATGTAGGAAGCAGCGACGGTGGCGGGAATGGTGATCCAGCCGAGCTTGTCAATCAGCTGGAAGGGAAGCAGCATAACGTAGACCCAGGTGATCTGGCTGATGGCGATGGCATACGCAATGGGGAGAGGCGTGGTCAAGACACGCTCGGTTCCGGTCATGATGTCGTTCAGGAGGGCAACGTTGTTGTAGGCGAGAGTCTGCTGCATAGGGACCTTGAGCTGGCCATCCTCGACCATCTTGTCAACGAGGCAAGAGATATGGGAGAGAATCTCGAGGGGCAGGTTGCCGAGAGGTCGGGAAGCCTTCTTGATGGTCTTACGAGGGTTGCTGGCGGCGAAAGAAACACCGAGGTACTCGCCAGTCTCCTTGAAGAAGTTCTTCTTCTTCAGAGTCATTTTCTCGGGCTCGGCAGACGTGGCTTCTTGCGCAAAGGTCGTCATGTGGGAGACGAGATGCTCGAGGTCCTCGTACTGGGTGTAGGGTTCGAAGCGAAGTTTGTGCTTCAGGGAGACGGAAAAGGCGAGGAGCAGGTTCATGCAGCCAACCTTGCGGAGCAGCGATTGTCTCGGATCGATACCCTCATTGTCACCACCATGGATCCAGAAGACGCGGCCAAGACTCTGTGTCGCAAGAATGAGCTGGGCCCAGTAACGGCGACCCTCGGCGTAGCGCTCATAGGCGGTAGAACTGCGGAAAGAAAGACCCAAACCGACGACGAAACCCAGGACGGTAAGCAAGACGGAGTCGACACCCATAGTCGTACGGTACTTGTCGATGACGGTGATAGCGGCAGCCCACAAAGACATCCAGATCAGGGGAACAATCATCTTGGGCAAAATGCTGCCGTGCATTTGCATGAACAGAGGCCATTTGGAGTGCTTGAGAATGTCGCGAGGACCGGTGAAGTAGTCGTCAATGTCAATGCTGGTGTTCTTTCTGCTAAACGGGTTCGGGGTCATGGGGCCCGTAGGGGACATGGTATCGCGCAGCTCTTCTGAGTTGAAGTCGGTCATGCGCGGCTTGATGGTGAAATCCTGGTGGTGCTGGTTGTCGCTCGCAGGGTTGTGGTTGTTACCGCCCGTAGGCGCGTGGCCGCCTTCTTCAGCCATGATGTGAGGCGTGACTCCGGAGTCGTTCGTTGGTATATTGATTGTTGGAACTTCGTAGGCCGAGGTGTTGAGGTGTGGCATATCCGGGAGAGGAAAGGAAGAAGGGGAGCGGGAAGGGAAGAAGGAGCTTATTGATATGCTCCTAACTTGTCAATTATAGACAGACCCTGTCCGTCAATCGGCAGCGATGGCGGCGGGAGTGAGGGATGGTCGGTCGAAAAGAGTAAGGACCGTACTACGTAAGGACGGTAAGGCAGCTTTTGGCGCGGGAGTGTTTGGTATATGAAGCGGTAGCGCTGGAAGGGGTAACGAAATTGGTCGGGAAGATGGTGAGAGAAGGAGGGGGGACCTTGTGTGAGGTTGGGATATTAGACGGGAGTTAAACTCGAAAAGGGCGCTGATGGTGTGGACGTTGACCAGGGCCAGGAGGTGAGATGGTGTGGTAAGCGCAGGTACGGCTACCGTGAAGTAGGAATTTGGTGATCAGGGGGTTGAATTGGTGAAAAGCGAGTGTCGGACGAAAAGAAAAGATGAACAAGTATGGCGGATAGTAGTGACAGGAGGGCGGTTTTCAGAGGAAGGAAAAGAGTCAGAAGGAGGAAGTGAGTGTAGGAGGAAGAAATACGAATAGGAGATGTTTTGTTAAGTAAGTACGAGGCGAACAGCAGCCAAGAGGAGAGAAATGTCACCGTCGCGTCTGCGGCCACCGATATTTTTTCACTATTATTTTCCATGACCATGTTATTTGTTTTTTACCGTCTTTTCTCGCTCCTGCTTCCAAAGCACTACCACTCCTTGGCCCAATGGGTCACTCCTTCCTCTGAGAAAGAACATTCGCTCCTGCAGGCCACAGATGCACCCCTTGGCGCCTTTCCTTTTCAGTCCAGACCTTCACACCTTTCCCGCTGCCGGATCGTCAAACGGCCAATGCCTGCCTCGCTTCACCCAATGGAAGGCGCGTGTTTCCTCCTGTTCCTGCCCCAGTCTACAAAAAAAAAATGTCAGGCCAAGGGAAGGAGTGAAAGACAAGGGTGTGGGGCACTTGGAGCGGCCAGCCCCGGGGAAGGAACCCACATTTCGGACCCAGGTGGGAAGCCAGTGAGAACCGGTGGAAGGAGCAGGGGGGCGGAGCTGAAACAGGGGCCATGCGGCTCCACTTCATCAGGACTGCTCCTTCTTCTTCTTTTTGCAGTTGCCTTTGCAGCAATTGGGTGAGTGACGACTCTCACTGCGTGACTGTGTGCACTTACGAATTGCCTTGGGGGTTGATTTCTTGACTGCTGCATTGCCATCAACTCCCAAACGGGATCCTCGTACACTCTGGCCATCATCACCACGCATTTACCTTCTGTTTTAATTGCGCGCTGACAACAATATTGCTTCCTGATCTCCAGGCAGAAAGAATTGGGCACGCACGAGCACGCTGGCGGCCGTCGAGCTTACTTGCATCGCAGTTCCTCCACTCGCTCCATCCATCTGCCCACTGGGCTGAGCCCGACCGCCATCGACACGTGGAGGCGCCCAAGTTGATCGCTTGATTCCCTGGATTCGAGTTTCTTGTTTCTGGCACAGGCACATTCGTCCAGATGCACCTCCACGGGGGCGAAGAGACGCAGAAAATAGCAGCTTTGCCGATGATTGGACCACACGATACCACAGACGGGTCTCTCCTGGCCCAGGCCGTTGACAGCATTGATATCCTGCTCCACCTTTCCCTCGGCCCTTGATCGAGATTGATTCGCTGTCGACTCATTCCACTGCCAAGAATCCAAGACGCTGCAATGTAAGGTACGGAGTTGCAGCTTGCCAGCCAGCGTCGGGTTACTCTGCACTCCGATGCCTTCAATGCTTGTTCAGTGAGTCTAGGTATTGCTCCCTCTCACTCCCTCCTGTTCTAGTGTGTCACTTTGTGAACGGATGTGCGTGTGCATACCTACAGGTACCTACCCATCCGTGCCTCAGAACCTCACGACTCATCGACCGACCACCAGTGATCTGATGCGCATCAGCTAACCTATAATTCCCAGGCCTTGCTCACCGATGCTTTGTGCCCCTGAAAGACTTTACAGGCAACAGTTGCAAGCCCCCGAAAGTCCCCGTCTGTGTGTCCTGGAGACCTCACTCGAAGCCCTGAGTCTCTGATGGCCAGGCCTGGTCTACGTGCAGGGCACCGGACGTGTTTTGGCAGCAGTGTTGCTTCGTACCCACGAGTACCGTACGAATGCCGATACGAAAAACGGGCGGCGCGACGACGATCCTGCTGTTTCCAGGCTTGCTTCCCGTCTGGAGCCGTGCGGCAAGTCACGGTGCGGTGCCCGCAACTTGCAAGCAGGCGCTGGTATATTCGGGCCTTGGCGTGTGAGGCGAGACGAGGCGAGCCAGGCGCCATATTTTGTTCATTTCGTGCCAATCTCGCCAGCACTTTTCCGGCCATCATCGCCGACATCACACTGGGCCTTGGCGGAGTCCCCTTAATAATCCAAGTTGGCACGCCTGGCATTCAATGTCTGGATCTGAAGCTCAAGCTCAAGCCGCTGCTTGTTACGGATACTAATGTGGCTGTCAGCCGCTGCACAGTCAGCGAGTCCTTGAAAGCCACGCCTAAGAGCTCCGTACAGCGTATTAGGTACACCATCACTTCCCAGTTCTCGCTGCCTTCACGGCAGCTTCCAGCTTGGGCCATCAAGATGCTGCGTGCGGCTGCGAGCGGCGTAGCGCCTGTCGGCCGGCAGTTTTTGCCTCCAGGCTCAACGACGACGTTTCTCAGACGCGCATCCGGCAGCATTTCTTCGGAGGACGCAGGTCTCAATCGGACGGCATGGATCTGCCTGCCGCTGCCATTCCCACATGCCGCCCGCCATCCAATGTTTCCCGTGGACCGAATGGTTCAGTCTGTTTATTATCACGTTCCACCAGTGTTCGTCACGTCTCCTGTTGGCCGTGAGTCCCCTCGGCTGCCCATCACGAATTCGTTTTCTTCTGATTCATGGCGGTGCCAAGAACCCACATCTGCCCCCTGCATTTCACATTTCACACTCGTACGCCAATCTCGCAACGAAATCAGCATTACAGCCACTAAAGCATCCGTAACACAACCCATAGATAGTACGGCGTACATATTATACGACGGGTATTTTTCGATCAGTATTGCTTGCCTCTCCATCCGCCGTGAAGTAGAAAGACAGCGCGAGACGGTCAGGGCTGACAAAGCCATGCGACGATTATCCCACCATGATCTGGATGACTCGCCGTCATGACCTAGGCCAATAACTCTGAAAATGAAGAACTAAATTGGCCGTTTCTCCATTCTTTTTTTCTCCTTCCATCGCGGTGAGTTGCGAATTGAAGGTCCCCTCTTGTGGTGGCGAAGCTTCCTTGGCAAAGTGGAGAAGTGAAATGGCCGTACCCTCGAGGGGGGGAAAAGACGGAGGGACAAAAAAACATGGTGATGGAAGAAATGGCCCCACCGTCTTCGTCTTCCACTTTGAGAAATCCAAGTTGTACATAGTTCCCGTCCAGTGGAGACTTCCCCGGCCATTGGCTCACGCTCTTCTCCGTATTGTTGGCCTTGCGGCCTTAGAAGAAAAAAGCTTGACCGTCGCAGACGGGGCCCTCCATATCGAGTTCCAGTTTTGCGGTCCCTGCGTCAGGACAGTGCGACGGTCGCCGGGTTCGCTTCCGTTGCGCGTATCCGTTGAGTTGGGTCTAGGAACTCCCAGTGGCCGTCCATCTCTTCCCTCGGAATGGCCGCCGTCGACCTACCTAACTATACGCATCAAGATTCGATCAAGAGCCTTTGAATGGCGTTAAACGTCAACTATGACTGCAGCTGTGCAGACACGAGTGGCACACACAATCGACGGTTGACTGGGCTGAAATCAAATCTGCGAGCCAATAGGTAGCAAGATTCTTATGAGAGCTAGGATAACTCGTCTTAGGTATCCGTAGCTGCAGCCTGCACCTTCAAGCCTCTGTATCATTCTCAATCCCCCGCCCGAGCTTTTTCCGCTCCCGCTTCAACGCTAGAATTCAATCAAAGAAGTTTCGGTCGTCATGATCGCTTGGTCACAATGATTCGATGTCTGGCTATAAGCTTCAGCCTCGATTGCGGCACCTGCCCTGCTATTCTTCGACACCTAATCAAGGTACGATCGGGCGGGCACCGGTTCGATGCTACGAGAACGTGGCTCACAGCTACCGAACGAACGGATCAAAAGCATGCTTACGGAAAGTGGGCACGCTACGAATACTTCTGTACGAAGTTACGAACCACGGCAGTGCACAGCCTCTTTTTTTTTTTTTTTTTTTGGTCTCCCTTCCGATGTTGGCTGCCGTCGGCGTACGAACGGTTGATGAGCCATCTTCGTCATCCAGCACTGTGGCATTGTCAATTGCATTCTAGATTGAATGGATCGAAGCGTGCCGAGGTAGGTATTTTCGGGTGGCTTTCCGATGTCCTGCAAAGGCCTCCTAGCCCACGGGCCACGGGGCAGGGCTGGCTCCCTCCGGCTTAGATCTTGCGCCCCGGCCGATTGCGGACCCGGTCGGCGGCCCCCGCGCCGCCCGAGCCAGGAATCTGCCGAACAGCGGCACGTGAGCGACAACGACAGACGCGTGTGTCAAACCTCAGCTCAACAATGAGACCTTGCTTTCGTCAAGAAGAGGATAGTGACGGCAGGCTCAAGTTTCTTGAGATCTGGATCGGATGAATGTTGGAACTAAACCCGCAATGCCCTTCGGAACCCCTGGGATCGGAAGGGCCGGAACGCATAGTCGATCGTTGTCAAGAAACTGGATTTATGCCGGCCCAGTTGGGATTCTTGGCAGACCAGCTCTTGACATTCCTTGTTTCTATGTATCCCGCTTACGAAATGCATTTTTTGCTTCAATACAACAGATGATTTATCGTGAGTTTATTTCTAACGAAGAATTAGGAAAACGTTATTTCGTTCAGTCAATACTCACTGGCAATGTCAGCCAGCATGTAGAATTATCGTATAATTCCACAATACCAACGCCGTCTACTCGGAATGACTTTAGGATCGAAAATTTAGACTGAAGCTCGGGAGAGTTGTATTCTCTCCAGCAAGGCACCAATCTTGACATTCACTTTTTGCTGGTCAACCCCATTGATGCCGTCGGCAAGCATTCAAGTCGTTTTGTCAACTCGGAATGTCACGACGCGGTCAGGAAAAGTCATTGAAAGCTAATGTATCAGAAAAGAAAGTGTTCAATTTGTAACGAGTGTATGTAGTGAGCTATCCATTACGCGGGTCCAAAGTATATAGTACATGATTATGGCTCCCAAATCCGCCCAATCATGGTAAAAGTACAGAGATTCCAAGCCTCGTGGGCTGTCATTTGTTTTGCAAAAAGGAAAAAGAAAACCAGTTTCAAAGAACGGTCACAGAAAGAATCTAGCAGTCGCCCTGGTTGAAGGGAGCCAGGGTAATAGCCTGGTTGTTGTTGGTGAAGGGACGACCCGCGGTCGCGACGCGGAGGACCGAGTCGGCCGAATTCTTGTTGTAGAAGAAGCGCGAGTACGTGTTCTGGTTGACGCCGTCGTCGCCGGAGGCGGTGCAGTTGAGGGGGACGCCGACGAGGAGGGACTGGCCGTTTGTGGCGCAGACGAAGGGCGCGAGCTTGCGGACCAGGGTCTGGCGCGAGGTGAAGCCGTTGACGGGGCGGTTGTCGTCTGCGTAAGGGGCCGGAACGGCGACGAGCTCGCCGTTGGTCTGGAAGAGCTGGCCGGTGGAGAGGTTCAGGTCGAAGAGGGCTGCTTCGGTGCCGGCTGGCTTGATTGTGAAGCGGTTTGAGCCGAGGGCGACGACGGAGCCGGGCGTGGGGCCGGTTGCGACCTTGAGGCAGAGGTTCTTGGCGATGACGTCTGTTGAGGTCGGGGTTGCGGAGGAGGAGGTTGAGGAGGAGGTGACTGTGGTCAGGGTGCTTGTGACGAAGGTGCTGCTTGCGCTGGAGGAGGCTGAGGCGGAGGTTGATGAGGCGGTGCTGGAGATGTCTGAGGTGGAGGTGCTGCTGGCGGAGGCAGAAGTTGAGGAGGACTCATCGGCGGAAGATGCTGACGTAGAGGTCTCGGAGGCGGAAGTGGAAGAGCTCACGTCATCGGTAGAGGTGGAGCTGATGATGCTGATGGTGACGGTGGGTTCATCGGTGAAGGTGGTGCTGTTGGGGAAGAAGGTAGGGCCAACAGAGGAAGTCAGGGAGGTGATGGTGGAGGACTCAATGGCGGTCGAGTTCGGGAAGAGAGTCGACGTGGGGAACAGGGTCGAGGTCTCGGTGCCCGAGGTGATGACGGTCAGGGTAGCGTTGGGGGCCACGGTGGAGGAGGACAGGGCCGACGACTCGGTGGAAGAGACGTTGGGGAAGAAGGTGGAGGTGGACGTCAGAGTCGTAGAGGGCTCCGAGATGGTCAGGGTCGTGGTGTTGGGGGAGAGGGTGGATGAGGGGAAGACCGTGGAGGACTCAGTGGAGGTGACGTTAGGGAAGAGAGTGGAAGTAGGGAAGGCGGAAGTCGACTCGGTGGAAGTCACATTAGGGAAGAAGCTAGAGATAGAGATGGAAGTGAAAGTAGAAGAAGACTCGGTGGCGGTGGTGGCCGTGGTGGTGTTGGGGAACAGAGTCGACGAAGGGAAGGCAGAGGACTCGCTACCAGAGGTGAGAGTCGTGCTGTTGGGGAAGAAGGTGGGCGAGACTGAGGCTGTCTCGGAGGTGGTCGAGTTCGGGAAGAGCGTGGTGGTAGGGAAGACGGTCGAGGTCTCGCTGCCAGAGGTGATTGTGGTGTTGGGGAAGCCGCTGCTGGTAGGGAAGACGGTGCTCGACTCGCTCTCAACGGAGGACGTGGTCGTGTTGGGGAACACGGTGGTGGAGGCGAAGCTCGACGTGATGGTGGTCGACCCGGACGTGATTGTGGTGTTGGGGAAGAAGGTCGAGGTGATGGAAGACTCGCTGGGGAACGAGCTGGATCCGGTAGAAGTGATGTTGGGGAAAATAGTAGAAGTAAAGGTGGAAGAGGTCTCTGAAATAGTAGAGATAATGGTAGAGTTGGGGAAGAAAGAGGAAGAGGGAGCGGATGAGCTAGCCTCAGTGCTGGTGCTGTCAAAGATGGTAGAACCAGTGGAGGAAGACTCGGTTTCGGACGTGGTGGACGAGGGTCCAATGGTAATAGTTGTGTTGAAAATAGGAGGCAGCGAGGTGGTGCGGGTAACGAAGGTGGTGAAGGTAGCGTTGTTAAAGAAAGTACCAGTGACAGAGGTAACCTCCTCAACCACTTCCGTAGACGTGCTGCCGACGGAGGTCGTGGCTGTGACCGCCTCCAAGGCCGTGGACGTGGCGAGGACGGTGGTGACGGCGGTCGAGGTCGTTGTGGTCGTGGAGAGAGCCGTGGAGCCGGGAGATCCGCTGCCGGAAACGGTGACGGTCACGATGGAGGTGGACAGGATCGTGGCCGGGACCGAGACGGTTGCCGTGGCGGTGGCGACGGCCGAGGTCACCGTGTTGGGCGTGACGCCGAGGCACGAGCAGGCCGAGGCGTAGCGGGCGACGGAGCTGCAGGCGGAAGCGTAGGCCGGGAAGGTGTTTGCGGAGATGGCGGTCGTGGCGGCCTGACGCTTCTTGAGGGCAATGGTCTCGAAGATGGTCTGGGTCTCGGTGGCGATGGTGGTGATCTCGGTGGTGCCAAAGGTGAGGGTCCGGGTAGAGGAGACGACGATAGTGGTGGGAACGATGACGACCTCTGTGGCGACGGTCGTGGTCTGGGTGACGCCGACGAGGGAGGTGGCCGTGGAGGAGGCCAACTCGGTCTCGACGACGAGGCTGGTCTCAACAGGACCGGCGCCGCCGCCGGAAGTGAGAGTCACCGTGGAGGTGAAGACTCCGCTGGTCGGGACCGTCACGGTTGTAGTGGTCGTCCTGCTGAGGTGTTAGTCCTTCTGGATGATGGGCAGTGGAGGAGTTGAGAGGGCTCGTGATAGAGGCACTTACGTGGCACCGGGGTAGACGGTCACCTGCAGGTACCGAGAGCAGTCGGCAGTACCGCTTCTGGTGGTGAAGGCACTGGCAGCAATGGCTACACGTGGGGGTGTAAGTCAGTCCATGTGGCCCTTCTATTGTAGATCGCCCTCCAGGGTCGAGGTAAGGGTGGACGATCACTCACCTCTCAGGCAGTTGTCCCTGTTACACTGAGCAGCGGCGAACCCAAAGAGGGCGGCCAACACGGCAGAGGTGGAAGGCTTCATGACTGCTGTTAGTAACTGGACCTCTTAAAGACTAGTGACTCTTGAACTTCGAAAAGAGCAAAGAGTGAATGTCTGGAGCTTGTCGATGGGAAGAGATGCAGGAGATGACTGCGCTGGTGTGGAGATGAGAACAAGTCCAGACAACCGGGCCTGGAAACCTCCAAGTCTTATACACCCAGAGGCATCTTGAGAGAGGCACCACCAGGAGCATCAAATCAAGAGACTCGGCATAGGAAAAAGCACTTCCCATGGCGACTTCCACAGAAACCAACGCGGTGTACCAAGGGATGGTGGGGTTCAGAGAGCCAACAGTCGGCCACCAATATCGCGTCTTTTCTGGGTCTTAGACTCCTTCTTCCCTTGGTTCATCTCGCGATTGCCTCAGCGATAGTGCTGGCTATGCGGTTCCTCCATCATAGACTCGCGACTCGCAGGTCATACGCAGTCTGTTGCTTGCTTTGCCTATCGAGACATAAGCAATCTGAGAATTAGGTAGGTAGTCCGCATCCCTGCCTGGCCATGTCCGTTGGAGACGAGACCAAGCTTGCGGACACTAGCGAAAGTGGCTTGACTAGCATCAGCGTCGTGCTTAGTGGTGTGCTTGCCATGCGGGCGGGATGAATAGGTAGATCGCTGCTACGTGGTTCGCAGAAACCCGTCTCCTCAGCCTCGGAACAGCTCCGGGGGTCCATCGCCTGGGTCTCGTAGGGCTCGTACACATGTAAAAAGGTAGATAAGCTTGCGTGATGAGAGGATGTTCCCTAGGATCCGTGGGATCCCTGTGGGAGACCTCACTAGCCACTTGGCTCTAATGGGTGGTGTGCCTCAGATTAACTGCGCTGCAAGGAACCCGTCCGGCTTGCTGCAAGGGCCAAATTATTTGTCTGTCCGAGATGCAGACATCGGACCATGGCACGCCATTGGTAGGCCCTTGGCAAGGGAAGCTCAAGAGCCGTGTAAGAAAGGGAGAGAGATTAAGAGTGTGAAAGGATCCCCTACCCCTCGTGGAACCCCAGCCGCGGGGACACACGCACGACACGTTGAAAACTAAGCAGATTTTGTGCGATTGGGTCGTGGAGGGGCGGAACTTGGGCTTAAGAAGCCGAGAAAAAGAAAGGGTTTTCAGTCTAGAAGACCTGCGCTGCTGCAGGTCCCAATGGAATTTGCGGAAAAGAAAGCGTGCTTTCGCGCGATAGAGTGGGCTATGTGAATCGACTAAGAGCTAGGCTTCCTGCACGTGCGAGTCACTTTTTGATGAAGGTCTTCAGAAAGCCCTGCATCAAGATGCAGACGAGAAACAAGCGCGCCACGGCTGTGAATCCGGATTTTTTTTTCATCCCATCTTTTTGGTTGAGCAGAAGCTGAAGTGAAGTTGTCAAAATCGTGAGACCGCATAGGAAAGATTGGCTCGGCTTGTCGTCTCCCTGCGAGATATGTGTCAGACTCACAGAGCCTCAAGAACGAGCACTTCTTTCATGCCGGATGAACCCAGGATTACGGTAAATGACGTGCCAGTCGGTCTCTCATTACTAACCCTGTATTTCAACGAATGAGACGAACTCCGGGGTACCGAGAGAGTGGGCTGTGGAGATGGGAATGCCTTGTTTCCCCAGTTTCACATACCGTCAATCGACCGACCACAATTTTGGTTCCTATGCCAAGGCCGTTTCGAATTTTCTCTATCACAAGCTGATGTCGTTATGACTCTCTGCGCGAACAATGGCTCCAAGATTGAGTGGTTTCGCCGTCCCAGTACCTAGTGATCCCTCACAGACCGAATCTTCCTTAGGCCTGGATCCATCACTACCGTTCAGCTCGTGGAGGCCTTGTCTTGCACAAGTGCCCTAAATGACAACACGAGGGATAGCTCCATGTCATCATCGCCGTGGATCCCCGCGAGACATTGTATGGGTATTGCGCACAGGCTAGACCGCGAACGTGCCGGAGGTCTCACCCGCATCCCGGTGGGAGTCAAGATCCGCTGCCCGCCAGATGCGCACCCATATCCACAACTTCCTGCGAGAGACTCCCAAAGTGCGAAAGCTTGTGTGAGATGTGAGAGTCAAAGTGACAACTCGGCTTCTGGCACAACGCTTGGCAGATCAATGTCGCCACGCGCGTTGAGACGATGGGTCCAGTATACGAAGGCTGAGGAACATGGCATCTGATTTCGCGATGATCTGGGCCTATGTCGGCCTTGAGTTTATTTGGCGGGTACGTCGATTCATCTCCCATCGTCTTTTTGGGTAATATTCCGATGTCCTGGCTGGCTGACAAGGAAAAGGCTGAAGCTCAACAACTCATACGTTTACCAGTGAGTCGATCATTTTCCGGAGGTTACCGCTCCTGCCAAGTCCGCATATAACTAAGATCGTGTGTGTGCGCGAGTTTCCATCGTGGTCGACCGATCTGATCCCTACGGAAAAGCCGCTGACAAGCTCGCTTCCAGCAAGCAACCAGCCACTGGTATCATCGAGCCAACATCTGAGAGATCTGCAATATTTCCATTTTAACTCAACGGTCTTAGATCTGTAACGGCGCCATTAGACGGCAAGCAGCTGAAAGAGAGGATCCAGTCGCCCTATGTGCGACTGTGCAAGGTGGTGCTGTGAAGGGAGACGATGTCTTTGGTGACGCGATTCAACTGCCAGGCCGCATTCCACGGGACCTCTTGCCGTCTCCCCACCAGCTTTAGCGAGAGAGCCAAGGATATTGTTCCGGTTCGATTTCACCCGATCAGATCTTTCCATGATGCTTACCGTCGACATCGAAACAGAGCATCGTTTGTGGGAGGATGGTCCAATGCTAGGTGAGGCCATGAAAGGGTCGAAAGCACATCCCTTGCTATCGACGCAAAAGCGCAACCTCCGCAGTGACCCCAATGAACCTCACAGAAATCTCAAATGAACCAGGGAAGGTTCCAGTGTCATCATTGACTCAAGTCGGGCCCACCAAATAGAGGGGTAATATTCTGCGACACTGTCTGGAATGTTGGAGTTTATCGAGTCCGAGTCTCGGAAAATGCAAGCAGTCCAAGATCCAAAGCAGAGTATCACGAGCATGGAACTTCCCACAGAGAAGACGGATGAGCTTGCGAGTCCTGAAGCCGTTCCTGCTGCTCGTGGGTCGAGGTGCTATTTCCCAAATAGTCCTATAGCTAAAGGTGGTCTATGCTGTTGACGACCAGATTCAAAGCACATTGCAGGCCTTTCTCGAGGAATAAGTATCCTGACGTTTACATGTGAAATTTAGAACATGCGGAGCTAGGGGTTTTCGACTATCTCTACACATGAAGTCTAGATCATCCATGTTGCACTTTAGGCGTCAACGTGTGAAGTTGACTCAACACCCTAGTTGCCTAAATGCCCTCTACTCTAGCTGTTTAAATGCGCGCAATCAGACGCCCTCCCAGAAAAAGGTCTCGGGCAAGTTAAAAGTGGCCCGCAGGATCTCGTCCTGCGGTTTGGAGCTTGAGGCAATAATGACAACATAGTCTCCTGCTTCAGCAATCCACTTGGACCTCTCCTGCGACCAGTACGAAAGTGAGTACTTATCGAGCACGACCTCCACAGTCTTTGTCTCATTGACAGACAAGAAAGGTTTGGAAAACGCCTTGAGCTCTCGGACGGGCCTCAGCAGCGTACTCTCTGGATCATGGATGTAGACCTGGACAACCTCCGCTCCGTCGTAAGGACCCGTGTTTTTTACGTCAACCAAGACCTTCATTTTGCAATCTTCCGTCGGCTCAAATGTCTTTGGCACCTCAAGCTTCGAGTACTCAAACTTTGAGTAGGACAGGCCTTGGCCGAAGTAGAAGAGCGGATCTCTGTCAACTGATTCGTAGTAGCGGTGGCCGATGAAGACCCCCTCACCGTACACGATATCGTAGTCAGACTTTGAGAATGAGAGGTATGCGGGGGTATGCTTGATGGACATAGGGAATGTCTGAGATAGGCGGCCGGAGGGATTGGCTTTGCCGAAGAGAACGTCTGCGAGGCCATGGCCTGTCTCCTGGCCGCCGAACCATGCGTGCACCAAGGTAGCTGCTTTCGATTCCCACGGCATCTCAATTGGACAACCTGATTGAGTGATAATTACCTGTGAGGATGTGTTAGTATCGGAAATTTTTAACTCGCGGTTGCCCTCGTGTGTTCGGCCAAGAAGGGAAGCTACTTACAGCATTTGGATTGGCTTGAAGCACTGCTTCGATTAGATCGTCGACGCGGCCTGGCAGTCTGAGGTGCTTTCGGTCGGCCCCTTCATACTCGAAATCTGATGACAGTCCAGTCACAACGATAGGAATATCGACTTCCTTGGCCAAGTTTGCAGCTTCTTTGATGGCGACCTCCTCATCAATGAGCTCAAATCCACCAACGCGGCCTGCAAGAGTCAAAGCTGTGCCAACACCTCCTGAGAGGTCCTCGTTTACTTGAACAACCTCAAGTTCGAGGGTTAGACCCTCAACCACATCTATGCTGCAAAACTTCTCCATGGAAAGCCTGTTGAAGCAAGGCGTAGGCCCTATTTTCGGCGGCTGGTCCGTCCATAAATCGATGACATCTTTCCCGTCTACTTTGAGCTTGCCCTTCCCCGATGTACTGAAGCCGAATCTGAAGGGGCTCGTGACGGAAGGCGTGTATATAGCCCGGGCTCTGACGTAAAACTTCTTTGGAAGCGACGCGTGAAAACTCTCTGGCACATCTATGAGTTCTTTCTGGGCGTGAGCCGTCACGAGTACTTCTGCGTTGGGGTTCTCGTCCGGATTTTCCTCAAAGATCTCAACTGACCACCCAAACCCTTTGTGCTGTGACTGCTGAGGCATTAAATTCTTTAGAAGTGGGCTGAATCTGAAGGCTGCGACTGGTGTTAATATCAAATACCCCAAGTATGTTGAGTGAGACCTTACAATGGCAACCAAGGGCATATGACACGTTTTCCGTTCCAACTGCCTCAACAATAGCATCGTAAGGTGTCACGGAGTAGTAAGGCTCAACCTCTGCACTGCCACCTCCACTCAAAGCAGGGTTCTTGACGTGATCGCCAATCAATCCGATTGTCTTCCCTTTTGGTTTTGTGATGGGGAGCACCTTGCAATCATTCTTTAGCAAGACGATGCTTTCAGCGACCAGTTGACGAATCAGAGCCTGCTGCTCGGGTGTATTCGACGCCGCGAAATAGCCAGCCGGTTTCGTATCCTTCACTTTGTTCACCAAATTGAGAACTTTCCGAACAGCCTCGTCAACTGTCGTACGCGCGACTTTGCGGCTGTTGACAGCTAGACTTAGACACTTGCCTCTCCATTGTGTGGGCCCGGGCATCTCCAGATCCAGCCCGGCGTTGATGGCTTCAGAGGTGCTGTAAGTACCAAACCAGTCGCTCATGACGAGTCCCTTGAAGCCCCATTCATCTCGAAGAACCTGCTTCAGCAGCAAAGGGTCTTCGCTAACGTGAATACCATTGATCTTATTGTAAGAGGTCATAAAGGTCCAGGGGTCTGAGTCGCGCATGACGAGTTGGAATGGCATGAGATGGATCTCCCTCAAGGTCCGCTGCGTCATGCAGACATTATCTTCAATGGAATTATCCGACTGATCGTGTGCGGCATAATGCTTGACACTCGTTGCAACACCTCGTTCTTGCACACCGTTGATGTAGGCTGCTCCGAGAATGCCGCTCAGGAAGGGATCCTCGGCGAACGCCTCGAAGCCACGTCCGAATAATGGTGAACGCTGAAGGCAGATGGTAGGTGCCAACAGCACATGCACCCCTCTGGCTCTTGCCTCCTCTCCAAGAAGATTGCCGACCTTGTGCAATAATTCGGCGTTGAAAGTTGCGCCCATACCAGTGGCAGAGGGCAGCATGGGGCTCGGGTTCTGGGGAAGAAATTCATTTATCAGTATCGGAGCCAAAGAATGGCCAAATTTGAAGGCTTCTCGTCGCCCAGAGCGATCAAGGACTTGGACTAACACGAGCAAAAGAACGACGTCCTCGGATGCCATGAGGGCCGTCTGAGGTCTGCACGGGAGGTTAGCAAGATGCTCATCCCTAGGCAAAGTGCCGGCTAACAATGAGATCTGGTATTTGGCGATGAGGTAGACCGGTCGTTCGGAAAGATCCCTGCCCAGCAAGCAATTCGATCTTCTCGTCCCAGGTCATTTGCTTGATCAACGCCTCGACGTCGAGGGGGGTGAACTCAGCAGCCATCTCGACGATACTGATAATTCCTTGATCTGACGAAGCTCAAGTGATTGAAGTTAGGGGAATTTGGAAAGCCCGGTGATCTCGGACAGCTATCAAGCTTCAAGTGGCCTTCCGGTCAATATTATGCGGTGTCATCTAGGGATTCTGTCAGCACAGACCCGAGTCCGAAGCACAAAAACCGCCGAAATACTGTCCTTCCCCGTAGGATGAGCGGGCCGTCTCGGAGTATCGTCGGTAAACGCGACGGAGTCTCCTGTCACGCGTGAGCAAAACTTGCCTTGATTCGATCACTTCGGTGCATTCGGCGCATTTAGGCTAAACCCGCAGCAGCCGGAACCCTGTCCGGAGACTTCCGGAGTCCACGGGGCCCCGCAAATACCACATCCGATCCAGTCCCGGGACCAGTCGCTGACTCCGCTCTGCGAAATGCGGAGATATATATCACCGAAGGAGCGATGATGGATTGGGATTTACGAAGCGGCCGTACTTTATTCCATCTGCAATCCACGCGACATCAGAATTATAGTAAGCAAAGGTCTTGTGACAAAGAGAGTGGAGCGCCTTCGCTCGGAGAAAAGCCAGCGTGTAAGTTGAGTGGTAAGCGTAGGCGACGAGCTCTTGTCCTTCTCTATGATCTTTGAGCCAATACTAGACATCGTGTAGAGTAGCACAATAAGACCGCAAGACAAGGTGGGACCATATTCGGTGAGCAAATGCGTCGCTTCCTCATTACGATAACGCCCAGCACGGTCAAACGGTTTTGGCAGTTTAGTAACATCTGTCACCCACAGGCCAGAAGTGTCTCTAAAATGATAGACAGGTCTGGATCGAAATGTGAATTGCAGATCCATGGTGTTTGCTTCTTGGCCCTTCGATGTTGTTGTAATTCTGCGGATAGCTGCATGAGTTGAAACATCAACGCTGTTACGCAATTAGCAAGCAATCCTTTGTTGCCTTAACCGATTCCGAGTTTACCTTCATTGAATGATCACCTTCATGCGTCTCATAAATAAGTGCACAGTTGTTTGCATGCCCTTTGACAACAAGTATTTCCCTTACTCTTGCTTCTCTCCGCAAAGCGACTGTAATCTTCACCGCCCTCAACAATCATACACTTGGGAATGTCGGACTCATCTAATGACGATGTCCTTTTCGACTCTGGCGACCGGTCTGGAACCGACTGTCAATCATATGCAGACACCCATGATGATTCCGACACGTCTACCTTATTTGACTGGAACTTGGATAGTTCTCGCCAAGATGCCCTGTCGGATCGCGTTTGCCTGGCTCCGATAAGCGGCGGACGTGAGAATGATCGCAACATGAAGAAACGAAGGCGAAGAGACCAAACTCGTTACCAGGAGCAAGCCAAGCATTCAGTAGCGGGACCATCGATTGCCAATATTCCCGAGCTTTATTTAATCGACAGCCAAGGGAATTACAAAAAGTATCGCCTCGTGCCGGCAGAAGTCGAAAAGAATCAAGCCGTGGAAG